AAAATGCAAACTACAAAATACACACTACAAACTACAAATTACAAATTACAAAGTAAAAATTGCCAATTAAGAAATAAAATTAAAAATTACAAACTAAAGATTAAAAACTATAAATTAAAAGTTAAAAATTACAAATTACAAGTTACAAAATACAAACTACGCATCACAAATTACAAATTACAAATTACAAACTACAAATTATAAATTACAAATCGCAAATTACAAATTACATATTACAAATTACAAATTGCAAACTGCAAACTACAAGCAACAAACTACAAACTACTAACTACAAACTAAAAACTACAAACTGCAAATTAAAATTTAAAAATTATGAATTAATAAGTACAAATTGCAAATTACAAATTAAAAACTACAAACTACAAACTACATATTACAAATTACAAATTACAAATTACAAATTACAAATTACAAATTACAAAATACAAATTACAAGGCACAATTTAAAAATTACAAAATACAAATTAAAAATTGAGAATTAAAAATTAAAAAGGAAAAATTACAAAATGCAAATTACAAAGTACAAACTACAAACTAGAAACTACAAACAACAAACTACAAACAACAAACTACAAACTACAAATTAAAAATTACAAATTACATATTACAAATTGTAAATTAAAAATTACAAATTACAAATTACTAATTACAAACTACAAACTAAAAACTAACAACTAAAAACTACAAATTAAAAATTAAAAATTGAAGATTAAAAACCATAAATCAAAAGTTAAAAATTACAAATTACAAATTACAAATTACAAATAACAAATTACAAATTACAAATTACAAATTACAAATTACAAATTACAAATTACAAATTACAAATTACAAATTACAAATTACAAATAACAAATTACAAATTACAAATTACAAATTACAAATTACAAATTACAAATTACAAATTACAAACTACTAATTACAAATTATAAATAACAAATTAAAAGTTAAAAATCAAAAATTAAAAATTAAAAGTTTAATATAATATAATATAATATAATATAATATAATATAATATAACATCCGTGAATTTGTTGTATTCGGGCGTTTAAATTTTTTAACATGAACTGTGAAGTTTTTTTCGAGTAACCTTCAGCTAATATTCATGATTTGTTATGACTCATGAAGTGGGGTTGATGGAATTGGAATAAAGAATGTGAAAATTTCTAAGAATCTGAAAAGTTTAGAGAATCTGAATATATAGAAAATCTAAATATTTTGAAAGTTTGAATAGTTTAATGAATTGAAAAGTCATGTTGAAAAAGTCACTTCTTCACAAAACAAAGAAAAATAACCGTCAATACTGAGCTGAAAATTGAAGAATTGAATTTTTCTCATCGAATTGTTCATTCACATAAATCTGAGTTTCGACATACGAGTACATCCATCAAAGCCTGAACACTTGCGGGTTGTCAGCTTCGGTGTGGCAAGTGCATCGTAAATTGAAATTTTTATCTATCCATTCAGCTGCAGTGTTGGTCTATTTTTTCCATTCTATTCAGAGTCAGAAGAATTTACAAGCACTCCATGAAATAATTTATTGCACTGGAAATAAAGATTCAGACATTTGTTGCTTGCAGGTGCTGCGTCGCTGTGGCAACACAGACTTTTTGGAGTAATGACCACGTGAGTAATGGTCACGTGAGTAATGACCACGTGAGTAATGGTCACGTGAGTAATGACCACGTGAGTAATGATCACGTGAGTAATGACCACGTGAGTAATGATCACGTGAGTAATGATCACGATGCTGGTGCAGGCCTCCATCGTGGCACGGGTGATGGTCTCGTTGTGGGCCTCCCGCATATGATTCTTTGGTCCTCCAGCTTGCAGATGGCATGTGAGTCTGCGGCTCAATGTCGTGCTTGTCCAATCGACGTAATTTACATTTTGGAGAAGTCTACAACCTTCTTTCATACAGGAAAATTTGTAAACGACATTGGTTTCTTGTAGTGGTCCGGACTTTTTGCATGGATTGTTTTTCATGATTAAATTCTTGATCTTTTTGTTTCTGTAGTGAATCAAAAGGTGTTCGGTTGTTGTTACTGTTGTGCAGCTGATGTTATTTTGCACAATTGAATTTAGGACTCGTTCGTCAGTCCTATGACCGCCGTTCATTTGATTTTGATAGTAAATTCTGGTTACGCAACCTCTTGGTGTGGATTCATCTGTTCGGTTTTGACGTGCTCTGATATTTGAAATTTCTTTGTCAATCGTTTTGTTTGCATAACCGTTGTTGACAAGAATTTGTTTGCAGGTTCGGAGTTCAGTTTTTAACTATTCACTTTTAAATTTTAAGTCCGTAATTTGAGTACTTCACCCATCACACGATAGAAGGTTATATAACTTTTGTATCACGCTAATTTTTTTTAAATTTAAAATTTAAATTTTAAAATTTAAAATTTTAAATTTCATAATTTAGAATTTAATATGTAAAATTTAAATTTAAAAGTTAAAATTTAAAATTTAAAATTTAAAATTTTAAAATATAAAATTTAAAATCTGAAATCTGATTTGTAAATGAAAAAACGAAAAATAAAAATTAAACATGTAAAATGTAAACTAAAAACCGAGTGAAATTATAAATAAAAAGTAGATGGTAATATTAACTATACATATATTATATTAGTTATACATTTATTATATTAATTTTTTATTTATTATATCAATTATACATTCATAATATTAATTATACACTCATTATATTAATTATACATTTACTATATTAGTCATACATTTATTAAATCAATATACATTAATTATGTTATTTATGCATTTATTATAATAATTATACATTCATTATATTAATTATGCATTTATTATATAAATTATACACTCATAATATTAATTATACAATTATTATATTAATTATGCATTTCTTTCAATAATATACATTTATTATTTTAATTATACATATATTATATTATTCATACATTTATTACATCATTAGAGCTCCGCAAAATTTATTCTTTTAAGCAGGTTTCGATTTAAAAACCAGAGAATTCGTTTTATTGACAATTTTCTTATTAGTAGCTTCAATAGATCGAACAATATTATATTGTACTGCAGGCATGTCGCCGATATCTTTGTCGTCGTTCGAGATGAAAAACAATTGAGGAATCTACGAAAGGCCTTTGAAATGAACTCTGACTTGAAATTTACTTACGAGCTCGAACAAAATTACATCTTACCTCTTTAGATATTCTCGTCCAAGCTAAAACTAATTCGTTCGTCACAAAAGTATACCGAAAACCAACAGATGTCGAGAAAGTCCTTAACGCCGCCAGCGAATGTCCAGAGCGCTACAAAAGAAGCACAATACGCGCTCTTATCCAATAAGCTTTAAAAACTTATTCGTATGAAAATAACTTGAATACGGAGCTGAGAAATTGTTAAGGAATCCTGGTCAATAACGGATGTGCCAGTAGAACCATCGACACAGAAATTTCAAACTTCGAATGTACCAAAACAGACTCAACTACGAGACAGAGACTGACGCAAACGTCACAACCATCTACTATGAGAACCAAATGACCAGCGGTTATAAAGCAGATAAACGGATCCTGCAATCTATCGTTCACATCAACATCGTAGGCGTAACTTTTAATAAAATTATACTACTAATCTGTTATATAAACAAGGAAATACAGAAATACAGAACTAATAAGAAAATTGTCAATAAAACGAATTCTCTGGTCTTCAATGAAACCTGCTGAAAGGAAAAAATTATGCCAACTTATTATATTTTTTATACATTTATTTATTAATTATATATTTATTATATCAATAATACGTTCAAAATATTATTTGAGATCGCGTTATTTCAGATGGAAACACTTTTACTATAGGCTTTTTTTTCTATTTGCACTCTCTTTTACTGACTTCACTGAAAAATTCAGTCATTCACTGACACGGATCATAAAAACAATGCAAAAAGAGTTCCGAAAACGGCACAGTTAAAGTTAAAAGTTGAAAATCTGGGACCGCAAAACACGAGCATCCGCTCTCGACCACAGCTGAAACTTGACTCCCAAGTTACGCATTGTTACAGTAAAAAATATTCTTAGCTGCATATTCCAAAGCAAAAAACAGAAAGGAGACTACTAGCTAGAGCATAGCATTTCGACGCTGAAGAATTAGGCCTGTTTTGGCCAGTCGCCGATTTTTGTACTTTTCGCGACTTTTCGCGAAGTCTTCTTTTCGCGAAGCCTAGTAGCTATTTCAAACTATCGTCAGTTGGGATAAGATCCTGTCAAAGGACCTGTTTTCAGATCTCTTGAGGACAAGTCTCGAGAAGTACAAGAATCGGCAACAGGCCACATCAGGCCTATTCTTCAGCACCGACTTCTTCTATTCTTCTTGTTTTTGAGCACTGCAGTTGAAAATGAAAATATGTTGTCTTATATCTGTCTTATTTTCTTATTGTATATGTCTTATTATATTATATTCACTGACAGCTCAGAGCAAAGTATAAGGGTGATCTATTGGCCTTACATTATCATCATGTGGGCATGTATGGATTCATTTGATATACATGACAATTGTATCGATGTATGAATGCATTCGATATACAGGACAATTATATAGATGTATGGATTCATTTTATATACAGGACAATTCTATAGAAGTATGGATTCATTTGATGTACAGGACAATTTCCATTACATTTTATCCCCTTGGCATGTGTGCAAATCTGTTCTGGGCGTCGTCATTATGTTAATATCGTGGAGCTACTGATCACGTTGCAAACAATGTGTTTATGAATTTTGTATTAAGTAATTAGTAATTATTGATTAGTAATTTTTGAATAGTAATTAGTGATTAGTAATTAGTAACTAGTGATTAGTAATTAATTATTAGTAATTAGTGATTAGTAATTTATTCATTAGTAATTAGTGAATTGTGAGGGTCAGGCCAGCCACGATCGAGCAGGTCTGGTGGAACGCTCTGGGAAGAGGCTAAAATCTAGATGGATTATATCAGTTCTTGACATGAGTTTGGAAATTATTACGCGACAACTTACAGATAGCTGGCGTTATAACAGCTCCCTCAGCAACATCAGCGAATAACTTCAAGAGACGGTACTGCTTTAATTGGATGTTTCCGACAGTAGTGTTGACGTAGGGCACTGCGCCTGTTGAGAAATGTATTCGTGAACATCAATAATGAACGGCAAGTGACTATCCCAGATGACTAATGCATATCAATAAATAAGCTCCAGTGATATCTTCCGATGGTCTGCTAGCCTACAGCCGCGCAAGTTAGGCGTACGGGGGATACCTGACAGCTTAACTCTTAATAGGTACAAATGTTTCTAAACTTGGTATGATTAAAACGTTGTAAAATTATATTAGGTTTGGAAGAGATACAAATGTTCCCAAACTTGGTACGATATTAACGTTGTAAAATTATAAAATTATATTTGGTTCGGAAGATCGAGATACAAATGTTTCCAAACTTTGTACGATGATAACATTGTAAAATTATAACGTCTGACAAGGGTTGTAAATTGGAGTTCGAAAGATGCATGCTTGCAGAATTCCATCACGTTTCCAGTGAGATTCATAACGCAAGGCCCGAGTCAGTTTACTATTTTATTATAATTTCCGTAAACTTTTATTTGATACGAATAGCCAATCAGGTTGCACGGAAAGTGGGTCTCCTGAACACAAGATCGAATAAGTTATTCGTTTTGTGAGGGAATATTTATGTAAGAAAATCTTTTAAACTCCCTGACTTCAATGTAGGTATTCAAAACCAGTCAATATAAAAGATCAATAAATTAACTACGACACACATTTTGCGATGCATGTGAAGGTCAAAAACCATCGAAGCTGCCACTTTTATTAGTCATGAATGCCTTTTCTTTAGCAGCCCTCTCATGATTCTCTCATTATTTTTACCTTTGATACATTTTTAAAATCCGGAAGAAATTTAAACATGCAAGACTGGACGCGCCAAATCGTTAATCGGCATTTGTTTGTCGTCTTGTATTTTCACAGATCTTCCATTGAACAAGTTTGGACTCACTGAGCGGCATGGCCGATGGAGACCCGGAGGATACACTGGCGTTGGTCACGTAAACGACTTCCTCGCCCGGCGAACAAGAGCAGAGTTTCAAGCCAAACTTGTAAGCGGTGCAGGTTCCATTGTAAGAAAACCCAGCCATGCCTGCAAAAAAATTTAATTAACTCTAAGTGAAATCATACAGAGAAACCTAGAAATTACAGAAAATTATTGCAATATTTCAACTCCGTGTGTTTGGAGAGAAGCTGTGCAGCCTTTTGGAAGTGGCAGCGATGCTACAGCCAGACCATCATTGCAATCAACTCCTTCATTGCAAACAACCCCTTTGTTGCAAACAACTAATTCATTGCAAACAAAAACCTCCTTACCCACAAGTTCGCTCGTATCCTAGCTTCAAACCTATAAACTGGCTCGCTCGTATCCTAGCTACGTCATCGCTGCCAGTCATGCGCATTCGCCTTCTCGCCAAGGCTGAAGTTCGTACATTAGTTCATGTAATGCAACAGCAACTAAATTTTACCTAATAAATAATTTAACAGCGAATTCACTTATTTCGACGTCTCAATATTGCCTCCTGCAGCTTGACTGGAGGTTCCACTATATTGCTGTAACCTGCAAATTAGATAAACACTTTGACTTTAATCCCGTTTTCCTAATCAACGCTGCGAATATCAGTTTTTTTAGTGAGGTTAAACCTACATCTAAGATAAAAATTTTCATTTAACTCCATTTCGATGCTTCAAGTAAATTCGCCTCATTTTTTGCGAAACATTTCCATGCGCTCGTTTAGGGCGCAGGATATTCACGTGCCAAGTTCACATTAGGTGCGAGGTGCTCGTCTGCCAAGCTTAAATAGGGCATAGGACGCTCACCAACCAAGGCGGCCTTCTTCGCACACTGCACCACGTCCGTTGCTGTTATCGCTTTGGTCTCATTGACAGCAGCGGTTAAATTGCCTGCCGTGACCGTCAAGCGTCGGTACGTCTGCAAGAAGGAGGCACGTTAACATCACCGTCACATTATCTATTATCTTACGTATAGCTTGAAAGTCTTCGTGGAATGTGACGATGCAAGGTTATAAAATATGCAGCTCCGTGAATGCTTGCAAGGCGGCATGGCAGTTGACGACTGTGCTACAGGTGCCTCAGTGCTTAGGGCGCCACTGAAGTTAAAATTCTTGCGAATTACGTGTGCATATATTGAAATTCTCTGTGCAACACGCATCTCACTACCCAGTCAAAACTCGGATTCCGTTCAGGGGCGCCAGAGGCTCGCCATGGCCGCCTTAGAGGCAAATCAGACGCCAATCGGCCGCCTATCATATTCGGCTTCTAATTGGGAGCCGTTTTCAGGTATCGACGCTTCCAAGCTTCAGATATTGACGTCTATGTGGGTACATCATTGAAGTATACAAGTATACTCCCTTCGCAAATATTTTAAAGTTTGGACAAATCCATTAGTTTAGAAATAGATAGCTGGGGTCCAAAGATGATGAAGTGTACAAGCTTATATGAATCTTGAACCTTGAAACTCACAAGACCGGCCCTCATACAGAGCTGGAGAAACCTACCAGCATCGTCGTCATGCAAAGCGTATTCCGTAGAAGAAAATGCGAAATAGTAACTGAGCGATGATTGCTGGAACCCTCGTAATTTTGGATTGGACTCAACTATATATTTCCGCTACCGGATTTGTTTAAACTTTTAGATTGTTTGCAGAAGGACTTTCTGGCTCTAAATTTTTGTGTTTTATCCTATTTACATGAATTATTATTTCAGTCCTATTTACGTGCACAGCTCAAACTAAATTTAATGATTAAATGCTTCTCTTAACTTGCAAATGAATGTTGTTACATTCGAAACATCGTTTATATATATTAATATTACTTGCTAACTTGCTAAACCTGCCTTTTGATCTACCAACGTCATCTAAAGAATTGTTCGACTCCTTGAAAATTGTAATGCATTCTCTGGTCATTATTTGTATGCAGATAAATCTCACTATATCTACTCCTAATGCTTCAAGTCTCACTATATGTACACCTAATACTGTAAGTCTCACTATATGTACACCTAATACTGTAAGTCTCACTATATGTACACCTAAAGCTGCAAGTCTTACTATATGTACACCTAATGCTGCAAGTCACACCATATGTACACCTAATACTGTAAGTCTCACTATATGTACACCCAATACTGCAAGTCTCACTAAATGTACACCTAATGCTGCAAGTCTCACTATATATACACCCAATGCTGCAAGTCTCACTATACGTACACCTAATGCTGCAAGTCTCACTATATACACATCTAATGCTGCAAGTCTCACTATATGTACACCTAATGCTGCAAGTCTCACTATATGTACACCTAATGCTGCAAGTCTCACTATATGTACACCTAATGCTGCAAGTCTCACTATATGTACTCCTAATGCTGCCAGTCTCACTCACTATATGTACACCCAATGCTGCAAGTTTCATTTTATATACAGTACTCAGCTTACCACTACTGAGGAGGGTCCCGACACCACCAAGGTCCTGAATCTCACGGAAGTCGAAGTTCGCCTCCCGCAGCTCAGCGGAGCAGAGGAGCCTAAAACGACGTTGGCCTACGGGGAACGTGAAAGAGTAACTCATCATAGTTAATGATTCACAATTACTTATTATGCTCGTCATTATTATGTTCGTTGACCTGCGAGGGAACGTGAGCGATTTACTCATCACTGTTAATAGTTCACAATAACATTATGTTCGTCCCTGCCAGCTACTAGACGCTTGGGTTTGGGCGATTCTTGTCCAGGGTAGCTGGATTCACCCTGGAGCTATGACAACTGTTTTGATTAGGTTTGCAGACACTGTTCATTAGCTGTAGCTGGGCACTATTTTTGTAATAACTAACACAAGTGGTTTTGTGATCTGTATTGATTCTTTTTCGTTTTGAAAGATCACTGAATAATAAGAGCAGCGTTTTGATTAGAAAATAAGAGTAAGACATTTTTGCCTCATTCTTCGCCAGGAAACAATCCATTGAATTCCGGCATCAACTGCAACTATCATTAATTACATCAAAAAATTTGCTTAACTGTATGCACGATAACTAAAATTTTGCTCCATCCAATGATCTAACGGATTAGAACATCAATATTTCATACAGTAATATTAGAATATGAAACGACTGCCATTAGCCTACTTACATTGGAGTAGTGAAAATTTCTCGAGAACCGAGAAAAAAAGTGACGAGCCACAAGAAACATAATTTTTCTCTCAGCTGCTCGTTGGCAGTCTGAGCCTTGAAGTGTGTCGCCATGATTACCTCTAAATTACGATAATTCTTGACAAGCATCTCTGTTGCGCATAAAGAAATTCTGCTACCAATAATAATTTGTACGTACAGCAAAAGGTCGGTACTCACGCTGTCTGGATAGGATACCGCGGCGAGCCCGAGGCCCAGCACCTGCAACACACAACGTGATGTGATGACAAATACGGATAAATGCTACGGCACAGCTCCTGCAACACACAACGTGATGTGGTGTCAAATAAGGATAAATGTTACGGCACAGCTCCTGCAACACACAACGCGCAGTGATATCAAGTAAGGACAAATGCCGTGGCGCTGCTCCTGCAACACAGAACTTGCTGTGATGTCATATAATGACAAATGCCGGTGCACTGCTCCTTATGTCACCTTCACCTTCACCTTATGATCCGTCACCTTCACATTCATCACGTTGTCCACGGTCACGCTGATGCGCTGCCTTCGTCGTCCTCCGTCTCCGAGTCGTCGCTAAGCAGGTCACTCCAGCCTCGGGTCCCGGATGTAACGTTGGACGTGTTCCGTATATTTGCCCTTCTTTGGGCCAGCTGATGCAAGATGCTGTTGCTTGTCACTTGCTGAGGGCAGTTTCCCATTACTGGACAATCCGGGATCTTTCTTCAATCAATTGCCCAGTCGTCTTTTGAATGTTGCAAGGGTGAACTCCCCTCCTCTCAGCTTTTTTGGCAGGGCATTAAATAACCTCGGTCCTACCACGGACAGTGATCCCTCACAGAGAGTCTGTACTCTGGCCGCTGCTCGGATATTAAATGGGGGAACCTCGCACAGTCTCCCCCTCCTTTCGTTGCAACGTGTCACTATTCTGGGTCTCACTCTCAAATTGGAGTCAGTCCGGTTATCATCTTTCAAGTGTACAGTATCACATGTCTTTCTCTTCTCTCCAGTGGGTACAGTCCCAGTTGCTTTAGCCTTTCCCAGAAGTTCAGGTTCAGCTCCTTCATGCCGCTGATCCTGTACGTGAAGGTCTGCCTTCACGTACATGTCTGCCTGCCTCTAGTTTCCGCACTGCACCCGCCTTGAGTGGCGACCAAAGTTGACAACAATACTCAAGATTGGAGAGCTCGAGGGCTTTGAAGAGTGTAATCATTGGTGCTACTGCTTCTCTCGTTCGAAATGTCCGCCATATCAACCCCATCCGTTGCCGGCTGCGCGCGACTATTTCCTCGGTATGGGCATCGAACGTGGCTTCAGTACTCATCAACACTCCGAGATCTCGAACTAGTTGCTTCTCCTCAATTTCTGTGCCATCTGATGCCAAGTAGTGATTTGGCATCCTGATCGCTGTGCGGACTCTGTATCTCACTACTTTGAACTTGGTGACGTTGAACTACATATTGTTCACTAGGGGCCAATCGTAGATTGACGATAGGTCATCCTGTAACCTCTCGCAGTCTAGGTCATCTGTGATCTTCATCAGCACTCCTGTATCGTCCGCAAATGACGATGTAGATGCGTGGGTGAGTGCCGTGTCAATATCGGCAATGTGGATGAGGAAGAGGATCGGTCCAAGCTCTGAGCCCTTCGGAACTCCGCTTTTCGCAATCGCTTCTCTCGATTTCCTGTTTCCAATTGCGACAGCTTGTACTCTATCTGTAAAGAAGGTGTGGATCCATCTCAACAGGCTTTATCCTTAAACTAAAAAAAACAGCGTTGGAACACATCCATGCGACATTTCTTCTCGCTTCGAGTCACCGACATGTGGAACAGCCTCCCTGATAGCANCCAGCAGCTATCTCAATAAATCGTCAGCTATGGAAAGATCGGGTTCCAAAGGCCGGATCCCTTGTGAATCAAGTCACGAAAGTTCAAGAATCGGCAACAGGCCATGGGCCTATTTCTTCAACGCCGACACTTCTATTCCATTCTATTCTATTCTATCCCCAACAACCTCATCTTTCTAAAGAGCACCCCATGGTCAATTTTGTCAAATGCTCCAGCAAAGTCTAGGTATACCACGTCCACGTCAGCGCCCTTCTCCAGCTGGGCCACAAGACGGTTATGGTGCTCCAGTAACTGCGACAAACAGGAACGATTCCACCGGAAACAGTGTTGTCTGGGCACACAGACCACACTGTAGGCTCGGCAGGAAGTAGGGTCTTAAATACCTTCGCTTCAAGCACACTTGCTGCTTCCCTCTCTTACTACAGCTCAACACTCTTATTTGTTTCAGTGATTTAATGTCATCACTTGACACTTAATGTAAACACTCAACTGCTTCACGTATTGAAAGCTATAATTTCATTCTACCTATCTGCTATTTTCTTTTGTCGGGTCTTTTTGATGGATAAAAGAGTAATTTTCTGAATACTCTCACACTGAACACATTATACTCTTTTTTTTCTTTCTACTGACTTCCATTATTTTCCGTCGAAACACTGAATTACATCTCTTGGGCCCAGTCCATACAATTAATTAGCAACTGGTCATCAAATAAAAATAATCGTCAACGATTTACTTCACTGAGAGCCGGCCGCGACACGTACGTCCTATCCAGACGACTTCTAGTAGGGAAGTGCTGCAACGCACAACGATCTGTGATGTCATATAAGGACAAATGCCGTGACACAGCTACTGCAACACACAATACGCTGTGATGTAAAATAAAGACAAATGAGGTAGCACAGCTCCTGCAACGCACAACGCGCTGTGATGTCAAGTAAGGCCAAATGAGGTAGCGCAGCTCCTGCAACACACAACGCGCTGTGATGTAAAATAAAGACAAATGAGGTAGCGCAGCTCCTGCAACACACAATGCACTGTGATGTCAAGTAAGGCCAAATGAGGTAGCGCAGCTCCTGCAACGCACAACGCGCTGTGATGTCAAGTAAGGCCAAATGAGGTAGCGCAGCTCCTGCAACACACAATGCACTGTGATGTCAAGTAAGGATAAATGAGGTAGCACAGCTCCTGCAACACACAACGCGCTGTGATGTGAAGTAAGGACAAATGAGGTAGCACAGCTCCTGCAACACACAACGCGCTGTGATGTGAAGTAAGGACAAATGAGGTAGAACAGCTCCTGCAACGCACAACGCGCTGTGATGTGAAGTAAGGACAAATGAGGTAGAACAGCTCCTGCAACGCACAACGCGCTGTGATGTCAAGTAAGGACAAATGAGGTAGCACAGCTCCTGCAACACACAACGCGCTGTGATGTAAAGTAAAGACAAATGAGGTAGAACAGCTCCTGCAACGCACAACGCGCTGTGATGTGAAGTAAGGACAAATGAGGTAAAATAATCTCAATATAAACACAGACGGTTAATTGATGAATAAAAGTTAAAACATTTTTTTTGTTTAGTGATCATGTACGGGATGAATAGTCTTCAATGTCTTTATAAATACGCCTCCTTACGTTCACAATAATTTTAAGCCAATGGAATGTTAGTGAAGGACCCGGTGGATCAGCCCAACTGAAAAATAACCATTATCTAACGTCCCATTTTCATACAGTTGCACCATCCAGAACACTAATAGCATGCAAAGGTTATTCATGAGATGGAATTTCTCAACACCAAAGTAATACGGTGTATTGCTGCCGTTTGCACACGACCACAGAGCAACTCCTTCCTAGCGTTATATTTCAAATGCCGAACCTGCACAAGAATATCTGCTGGCTTTAATTTACAGTTCTTGGAAGTGGAACATCAAATATCCATTGTTAACATTGTTCTCGATTCAAATCGTCATTATTTATTTACCAATAATGTAAATACATAATTAAAATGAAAATAAAAAACTAAATATTAAAAATTAAAATGAGATATAAAAAATTGAAAATTAAACACTAAAAATTAGAAAGTAGAATTTAAAATTTAAAAAATTAAAATTAACAATTGAAAATTAAGAAGTGAAATTAAAAATTACAAACTAGAAATTCGTAATTCATGATTAAAAATTAGAAAAAAAATTAAAAATTATATGTAAAAAATTAAAAATTATAGATTATAAATTCAAATTGTATAATTCAAGATTCAAAATTACAAGCTATAAATAGCGAATTGCAAATTGCAAATTACAAATTACAAATTACATATTGCAATTACAAATTATAAATTATGAATTACAAATTACAAATGACAAATTACAAATTACGAATTACGAATAACGAATCACCAATCACCAATCACAAATTACGAATTACGAATTACAAATTACAAAATACAAATTACAAATTACAAGTTACAAATTACAAATCACAAATTACAAATTACAAATTACAAATTACAAATTACAAATTACAAATTACAAATTACAAATTACAAATTACAAATTACAAATTACAAATGACAAATTACAAATTACAAGATACAAGTTACAATTTGCAAGTTGCAAGTTACAAGTTACAAGCTACAATTTACGAGTTACAAGTTACAAAATAAAAATTAAACACTAAAAACTAAAAATAAAAATTCAACATTAAACAGCATTAAACATTGAACATTAAGAATTAAAAATTAAACATTAAAAATTAACATCTATAAATGATAAATGAAAAATTAAAATATTAATAAATAAAAATAATAGAATTATAAATTAGAAATGAAAAACTGGGGGAAATGATAAGACGAAAAATTTATAAACTGCAAAATGAAAATTAGGCGAAAAAATGAACAACGAGAAAAACGTACAAATAAAGAATAAAACAATGTAAAATGAAAGATGAGAATATGAGAAAACTAAAATAAATAAAAGAAAAATGAATAAAAAGAAAATGAAAAACGAAAAAGTGATAAAAAAAACATAAATTAAAAAAAAAGTATAACATGAAAAAGGTAAATAATTAAAAATGGAAATATGAAAAAATGAATGAATGAAAATATAAAGATATGGAAAATTTAAAAATAAATGGAAAAATTAAAAAGTGGACTTGAAAAATGTGAAAAAATTGTGAAATTTGAAATGTAAAATATTAACTTGGTCGTGAACGTGAACGTATATGTAAATGTAAATGCAAATTCAAATACAATGCAATGAAATGTATTGTGATATAATATAATATAATATAATATAATTTAATATAGTATACTATAATATAATATAATATAATATAATATAATATAATATAATTTAATATAATATANGTTTATCAAGATCAAACAAGCACTAACACAACTCCTGTCTCTTATACACATCTAGATGTGTATAAGAGACAGATACATATATTATATTAGTTATACATTTATCATATTAATTTTGTATTTATTATATCAATTATACATTCATAATATTAATTATACACTCATTATATTAATTATACATTTACTATATTAGTCATACATTTATTAAATCAATATACATTAATTATATTAATTATGCATTTATTCTAATAATTATACATTCATTATATTAATCATGCATTTATTATATCATTTATAAATTTATTATATTAATTATACATTCATTATATTAATTATGCATTTCTTTTAATAATATACATTTATTATTTTAATTATACATATATTATATTATTCATACATTTATTACATCATTAGAGCTCCGCAAAATTTATTCTTTTAAGCAGGTTTCAATGAAGACCAGAGAATTCGTTTTATTGACAATTTTCTTCTTAGTTGCTTCAATAGATCGAACAATATTATATTGTACTGCAGGTATGTCGCCGACATCTTTGTCGTCGTTCGAGATGAAAAACAATTGAGGAATCTACGAAAGGCCTTTGAAATGAATTTGGACTTGAAATTTACTTACGAACTCGGACGAAATCACACCTTACCTTTTTAGATATTCTCGTCCAAGCTAAAAATTTTTCGTTCGTCACAAAAGTATACCGAAAACCAGCAGATGTCGAGAGAGTCCTGAACGCCGCCAGCGAATGTCCAGAGCGCTACAAAAGAAGCACAATACGCGCTCTTATCCAACTAGCTTTAAAAACTTCTTCGTATGAAAATGACTTGAATACGGAGCTGAGAAATTGTTAAGGAATCCTGGTCAATAACGGATTTGCCAATAGAACCCTAGACACAGAAATTTCAAACTTCTAATGTACCAAAACAGACTCAACTACGTGACAGAGACTGACGCTAGCGTCACAACATCTACTATGAGAACCAAATGACCAGCGGTTATAAAGCAGATAAACGGATCCTGCAATCTATCGTTCACATCAACATCGTAGGCATAACTTATAATAAAATTAAACTACTGATCTATTATATAAACAAGAAAATACAGAATCTTGCAATGAACAATAATTCTTGCAAAAAAAACGGAAGTTTTCATAGAGACCAATGTAGTCTATAAATTTTCTTGCAATAGAGAAGGTTGTAGACTTCTCCCCAATATGGACTACATCGGGCTCACAACTACGACATTAAGCCGACGTCTCACGTGCCACCTTCAGTCTGGTGGACCAAAGAACCACCTGATGGAAGCCCACAACGAGACCATCACTCGTACGGTGCTGGAAGAATGCATCAGCGTCGTCATGAGATGCCCCGACGCCAACCGACTCATGATAGCTGAGGCCCTCATCATTAAGGATAGGACTCCAGCCATCAACCTTCAAACTACTGGATTTGTCAGAACATTGAGACTGTTTTCGGAGTAATTTTTGATGTTTTAATTCTTGATTATTTTCATATTTTTGTGCTTTTGTAATTATTTCTAACTATTTTGATTTTTTAGTAGTATCCTATTTACATTATTTTATACTTACGTCGATCGAAATTCCATTACTCAATGCGTCTTTTAACTTGATAATGAATGGTTGATACATCCGAAACGTCGTTAAAGAAATAAAAATGTCCGTCGGTACTCTTATTTTCGATTTAGCAGTGCAAACGAAAAATATTGCTCGATCTATTGGAAAAATTATTAAGAAAATTTTCAATAAAACGAATTCCCTGGTCTTCAATGAAACCTGCTTAAAGGAACAAATTTTGCCAACTTATTATATTAATTATATATTTATTTATTAATTGCATATTTTTTATATTAAATATATATTAATTATATTAATTATATATTTCTTATATCAATTAAACATTTAAAATATTATTTATACATTTATTTACTAACTATATATTTGCTATATCAAGCATACATTTATTATATTAACTATAAATTTAATATACTAATTATACGTTTATTTTAAAAAGGATACATATATATCAAAAATTTATATGGGATTAAAAATTATTTTTCAAAGACAACGCTTCTAAAGAATCCAGTGTCTTTGATGTTACACATGTACAATGAATTTTTAATTTTAATTTCATATAATAAAAAAATTAATTTTCAATCTTTTTAATGAAAAAAATTAAAATTTTCAAAATTATTTATTCTGTAAACTGATTCATGTATTTTCTCCATCTTTACCTAAGTGTACAAAATCTCAGAGCGATTGGATAGGTAGAAGTGTGTTAAATATCGATTATAAGATTTGTAGCAGACAAACAAACAAACAATATAAAGTGAAGTTAAAGAGAAGTGTTGTATTTACACATTTATTATATAAATTAACACATTTACACACATAATAAATGTGTATTTACACATTTATTATAAATTAATTATTTATTATATAAATTATTATAAATATTAGTTTATTATTTATATCATTTCAAGCGCCCCTGTTAATGCACACGACACTCACCGTAGCCATGATACCGAAGGAGAAGCGGAGCTCGGGCATGACGGCGGCTTGAGTTCCTGGATTTATGGAAGCTTTGATTGAAGTTAAGAGGTAATTAGTGCTGCAAACTCCTGGATTTATGGAAGCTTTGATTGAAGTTAAGAGGTAATTAGTGCTGCAAACTCCTGGATCTGTCTCTTATACACATCTTTTGAAATCTGATTTGTAAATGAAAAAACGAAAAATAAAAATTAAACATGTAAAATGTAAACTAAAAACCGAGTGAAATTATAAATAAAAAGTAGATGGTAATATTAACTATACATATATTATATTAGTTATACATTTATCNGTGCTACACCTGACAACAGGTGCTGCACCTGACAACAACAGGTGCTGCACCTGACAACAACAGGTGCTGCACCTGACAACAACAGGTGCTGCACCTGACAACAACAGGTACTGCACCTGACAACAACAGGTGCTCAGTCATAACCATTTTATGCTCACCTGACATCAGATGCTCACCTAACCACATCAGGTGCTCACCACATCACACACAAAACTTAATACAGCGCTCGTGTGTGTGGAGATGTTGCTGGCAGTTTTTCCAGCGCCGCGTGAACCACGTCGTCTGTACGAGGTCCTATCACTTCAAATGATAATAAAATATTATAGAGGTACATCGATCGCGAAATACATTTATAGTTATATTTCTAGTATATAACTAGATATATTTCTATATATCTCTCTATATATTCTCTATATCTATATATATTCGATATATTTCTAGTATATATTTCTAGTCCGCTAACTAACGAGAAGAAATTAAAACGTAGTTCGTAAGGTCGTATAACTAACTTATTTTATCTTTCCTTGCTAAATTAAGGCTAAGTGACAGTTTTATATCATCGTTAGCTATCATTGCTTTGTTGTTAGGTTTGTGTCGTTAGAAAAAGATGGTAGAAGAATTCATTATTTAATTTGGCATGAATTCTATAGGGCAAACAATATTATAAATTTGCTGAGTATCCTAGTGAGTATACTAAATACCAATCAATTAGTAAGCTCGGTAATATTTAGTGAATTATCCTTTGAAATTGAATTATCCTTTCAATTGAATTATCCTTTAGTGAATTATCCTTTGAAATGAGTTTCTAAATACAAGCTATAGAATCTATACAGATCTAGCGTTACAAGGAGAGTTTGTTATATGTTCCACGTGTATTTTTCTCTCAGCTGCAAGTGTTCTGTGCGAATAAATCTGCGATAACTGTGGGGGAGGGTGATGGGTAATCGCACTGACTAATGCACACTCAGACAATGGAGTGGGACTTTCTCCAACTAGCGATGCATATTTGGCGCTTCTGTGGGTTTATTTTGGTCCGGTAAGAGGTCGTGTCAGCGCTATGTCCTCTTCTGCTTATACTGAGGGTAGGAAGTGAGGGACGACTTGGACACTGTGAACCACTCATCTTTCAGAGTGTAGCGTGGA